TCCTCGTTTCTGAATCAAATCATCCGTGAGGACTAAGATGGAATACCTCTTTTCCAGTAAAAAGGGTCTCCGGTTCTCTATACTCACCATACGAAACATAAAAAACAATATGTGATAAAATCCGTTATATTAGTTTTATTTAAAAGTTTAATAGAATAAAAACATTCCATCTTTAATAATCTTTTCCAAATCACAGTCTTTTCCCTGGCAGTTTTAACGAGTTTTCACACTTTTTTATATTAACCTGGAAGTTATAAGATACTCTTATATCCTTCTTATCAGTTCTTTCTTGATTTTTTCTTTCTACTACTTCTTTTACTTTAACTGCCTTTTTTATTCAGTTTCATTCACATCCACAGAATTACCAGTTATAAAAAATACTTAACACAAGTTCTGAATAAATTATAATAGGGCATACTTATTTGTGGGAAAATTGACATTCGTTTATCATTATATTTCTTGTGATATTCTCTATAATGGAGTTATAAATGATTTCGTAGACTTATTATAAGGTCGTGTGTGTTAATGTAAAAATATCACACAAAGTCCCATCCCATATATTGATTAAGACCCTTATGTGAAATTAGTATAATCAGTCGCTGTATTTGCTTGCCAATCATAAATGTTTCAATAATTTGTATGCCATCAACATAACATAAAATAGAAAAGAGGGGCATGTTAAGCACAAGCAACGTTCGGAGTTGTCGGCTTTGCCGATACAAGAATTTAAGTCTGAACGGCCGCCAAGCTCCATAGCAGTAGCCTAAATAATAGAATCTATAAAATTTAAAATGCTCGTGGTATCGATTATTGTATCGGTGGAGCCGACAACCCCCAAACGTCCAGTTCCGAGAACGTTGCAGTTCCAAGAACGTAGTACATTATTTATAATTTACATTTTTTGTAGTACATTAGCTCTAATGGTAGCGTACTGATTTATAGTATGTAATACTATAAATGTCATTTAGACCTTTTTAGATAATATTTCGCACACTGAATGAATGATGTAATATGATCTATGATAGAGGAATACTGTTATGGATACGAATGAAAGTGGGCTTAAAGAAGTTGTTTATTCTAGAGGTCTAGGCCCCAGAAATGTCTAAGCCCACTTATATCCGAGAGTATTTTTGGGAGATGGTAAGGATGGTACTAATGAAATGCAAGGGTAATGAAAATATTGTTATATTAGGAGATTTTATTGAAACGGTTGGGGTGAAGAGGCTTGGTTATGAAAGGATATTGGGAACGTGTGGTGATGAAAGTATAAACGAGGACGGTGAAAGTCTCCTCACCGTATGTGTGGAAAAGAATATTTTTGTGACGAACACTTTCTTTCTTCATAAGAAGATTCACACGTATACATGGGAAAGAGGCGATGATAGAAGCGTGATAGATTTTATAATTGTGGATAAAAGAACGAGGAGCGCAGTGGTAGATACAAGGGTTTACTGGGGTTCCAAGGTAGGGACGAATCATTACCTGGTCTTATGCCAAATTAATGGTATATTCAGACGTTGGTGGCATCGGACATTTGTGTCTACCACTGCGATACCACGTATAAGAACAGAGAGCTTATAAGATGAAGGTGTGAAAGAGAAGTTAAATGTAGACTGAGAGACTTGGTATAATATCAAGAAAGGTTTGGTAGCTGCAGCTACCGAAGTATATGGTGCAAGTAATAGAACGATTGAAAGGAAAAATAACACGTTATGGTAAGATATGATGAGGTACGGATTGAAGTTGAAGCAAAGAAAAAAGCATAGCTAGATTTACTAGCAGCCAAGGCTAGTAATTTTAGCGGTATGAATGATGATATTGAAAGAAAAAAAAAACAGTCTTTAGACATCTAAATAATAGAGTAAAATAAGTAGTTGAAAAGAAAATGCAAAAAAGGACGGATAAAAATGACAGAAGAATATCGTATAACATCCAGGCAAATATTAAAATGTTCTGGAAACTCGTATGAACTGCCAGGGGACATCCAAAACAGCCTAGAATGAATGCTATACGAGACCAGAATGGTTGTATTCTGAATGACGAAGTTTTGAGTTTAAGGAGATGGAAGGAATACTATGTTTATGAGTGATAAGACGTTTGAATTAAATCGAGTTGAAAATGATGGTTACAATAAGGAACAGGTCATTAAAAGAAAAGGGAATGAAAGTGATCGCAAGTAAGATGAAAGTTATGGTTTTTGAAAGAGAAGAAAGTAAGACGATATGTGAAATAAGAATATAAGGGAAGTTGATCGAGCAAGTATATGAGTTTGTGTATTTGGGATGTGTATTTAGCAGGGATGGTAGATATGACAAGGATATAGAACGACGAGTGAACGCAGGAAATTGAGTAAATGGAGCTCTATATTTATTGTGGAAAGTCAGAATTTGTCCAAAAAGGCACGTATAGCAATTCACAATGCTGTGTTAGACCCTACTTTAATGTATGGTAGTGAAAATCGGGTGTGGTTAAAGAAGCACGAGGGTAGAACAATTGCTGTAGAAATGCGGTCATTAAGGAGTATGTTAAGCCTGAATCCGAGTGACAGGGTGAGAAATTGTGTGTTAAGAGTGTCGTTTGCAAGATGATGTTATGATCAGGATTAAGAAAGGATTGTTTCCGTGGTTTGGTCATGTAGAAAGAATGAATGAGGAAAGAGTGACAAAGCAAATTGAGGTTGCAGAGGTGAATGGCAGAGTCGGGAAGGGACGCCCTAAGCGAAAGTTTATCGTACAAATTGGCGATATATTGAAAACGGGCCATATTAAGAGTACCTTTAACCGATGAGCCTGTATGCGTAGGTATATGGATATGGAGGAAGCGAGGGAGGTGTGTCAGGATGGTACCAAATGGAAGTCTATAGACTCTGCCTACCCCTCTAGGTGAGAGGCGTGAGTGTTTGTTTTACGTTATGTATTTTGCACACCAATGTACACGTTATTCTACCCATAAAATATGTATTAATTTATCTTATGACTTAAATAATTTTGTTTTCGGTTCGTTTATCGGTATTTATTAAATGTGATGTTTATTTTTTTTTAAATCAGTTATTAATTTATTATAGATTTGTCGTTATTTCACGCAGAGCTATATACAAAAGTTTACTGCTGAATCCTTCCCCGTAGAATGCCTAATAAGGGAGATTTTTCCATAGTTGCCTCGCTTGGGTTGGGTTTTAAGTTATTATCAGGAAGATGCTGCTGCCCATCTTCTGTTTCAGTTTACCTAATGTTACACCATGGGAGTAGTGGATATTCCTACACCGCCACTACATGGTAATATTGTTATTTAGTAAAAGTTAAACTTATATAAATATCTATAGTTAATATTTTACGTGTAAGTACACACATTATACGATGTAATATAAGTTTGGGCAATGGTCATTATTTTTGTAACAACAAACATTTATAATTAAATTGTTTTTATTATTATTTTATGTGCAATTGTATTGGTTCTGAATTAGACTTAGATGCATTACCCCAAATTTCTGTTAGGTAGATAATATGCGTTAAAACAAAGAATTATAATTAAGGGGTCTGAAATTACTGGGAAGACATTTCGTTTTACTACGAAGAGTAGGTTTGACATAGGATTAGAAAAGCACCAAGACCTTTTTTTTATTCATCAACTATTGATTAACTATTTTTAGTTGAATATTATCACTTATTTTTTACAAAACAGCAAATATGACTTATTTAGTTTTTGTTGTATTCATAGAGAGTAATTTAGATTACTAGCAAATTTAAAATATAATTTAAATTTTAGAATATAATTAAAATAGAAATGTACGTTATTTTAGGGCTAGTCGCGCGAAGGTTAGATACAGTGATTCAGCGAGAAAACCCAGCCAACATTCTTGCCACCACACCGCGTGGAGTAGATATTTAGGATTTTAGGTTTAGGTTCTTTTTAAAGTTATTAATTATTATATGTTTGAATTTTATACAAATTAATGTCTTATTGCTAAACTATTATGTAAGAATGTTTTAAAAGCATTTTGTAGACATAGTAACTGATAATACCGGACCAAAATGTGTACATATTATTCTATTTTTTGCTGATTGCTCGACATGATTGACTATTAATTTAAATATTTGTTTAAGTTATATACAAATGGTAATGTTTTCACGTTATGTGGCTTAGTAACTTGTGTCTTAGCTCTTGACAGTTTCATAGAAAATATCTAAGCGTAAATAATTAAACAGACATTTCATGTTCAGCCCGACGCGTCGCTATGGCCGACTCTCCAATTTCGCAGTTGATTACTTCTGAGTGGACTACTCGTATTACTTAAGCTTGCTATTTCATTCTATAACGATGTTGTTTATTTATTCTCTCTGTGATATAATTTTATTTCTTCCTACTTTCTTATGAATAAATCATTATTTCCATTTTCAAAAAGTGGCTATCGGGTAAAATCATAACAGGTTCTTTTTAAAATGTTTCATGAATCCATGGCACTATTTACTACTTACTCGTACTATAGGGGAAAACGATTTTAATTAAAGGTTACATGAGTTTAGATACGTTTAAAATACTGTAGTGTACAAATTAATCGAAAAATGATGTCTATTTAACGTAATGACAGCTTTATGCAATACTGTATTTTAATACCCAGCGTCATAGAATTCAAGAACAGGATACCTCATTACATGATACTTTCTAACGTTCACCAACGAGTCCACCTGATGAAAAATATAAGTAAGTAATCGGTATAGATATATAAAGGTGATTTAAATGAGGTTAAAAATAACCGCTTAATAGAATCCTTGTCACGACCCTGAGAAACGACTGCTGAATTCGTAATATGATGCATTAAGTAAATTGAATAAAATTTCTCAGGCTCTAGCCCTGTATTATTTTGAACGCCTAATTTTATTCTTACAATTCTCAATAATTATTACTCTCATTATGAATCAGTTCACTATTAGCATCTACATTACAAAATATTTGTTTTTGTTTTAGGAATAAATGATAATATTTAATAATTTTATTTACAGTTATCCCCGAACCGGTGATCAGTTCACCACGCCCTATAGGCCAACAATCACCCTTACCGGGAATAGAAGAGGAGGACGATTCTGACTGGCCTCTTGAAGACGCCACTGACTCAACACTCACGCCTTCGTACAAGAGCACAATAAGTAGTACAGATACCGTTTATACATCATCGAGAAGCTCTGGGAAAAAGCGTAGCTATGGTAGTCCGTCATCAGTGAAGATATGCATATCCGCAGCGGCTAGAAAATATAGTAAAGCTCGCAAGCGTGGCGCTGGTGCAGTTGTTCTGCCTCAGGGGCAAGGTGGCGAAGATCCGCCACCTCAGCCATTACACGGCAGGATGCAGGCTGAACAAGGCAGCATCGGTGAATTGCAGAAGTATCACGGACGGTACCTCAAGAGTCGCCGCCACACCCTCGCTAATGTCCGGTAAGATGTTGTATTTACTTTTCTACAATAGTAATAAAATATGTCATACAAGTTCTAAAACCGTTACGTTGTCAGAAAAATACCTGCAAACGTCCAATCCGTCGCATTAGTGCAGTGTTATTTAGTAGACTTAGGCCCGCCATATACATACGGAATTCCGTTTCGGGATTCCGTTTCGATATTCCGATTCGAGATTCCGAACGCAGCAAATTCATATAAAATATATGACCCGTCACACACGTACGGTAGTTTTACGTTCGAAATTTTGCGGGCAAAAAGGGTTTCCGTATGTGTGTTGCCGACCCGTTCGGAATTCCGAAACGGAATCTCGAAACGGAATTCCGTATGTACGTGGCCGGCCTTACATAGCTCGAAATATTTTCTCAGTATTATATGCTGGTTTCCTCACTATGCTATCACTGTGTGTGTGCGTGCGTGCGTGCGAGTGTGCGTTAGCATCGTTACGTATCAGTACGCATCAGTACAGCAGCTATGTAGGTCGTATGCGCATTAAAATATAGGCTATGGTTAACTACAACTACTAAATATATGATTGTCACTTACATGAGAACTTAAGATTTAAATAATATAAACGATCGTACAAGTACGTTAAACTTAACATACTTATATCGTTAATTGCACACAATTACGCTATGTATATGCTATAAGTTTAACAATGCTGCATATAATAATATTTAACAACAATTTTAACTTATACACTTAGTAGTTAATCTTGTTTTTTTAAAACGTTACCTCCGCATTAGTTTAGACGCTTCTTTCCAACTCCGCCTAACCTATTAGTTGCTAATTAATTAATAATCATTCATGTTATCGTTTACGTTTACAACAACGAACAAACTTGGTCACGAAACAATTCCCTGTGGGACGCTATAGAGAATAGGAGAATTGTTATTTCTTTAGCGTAATACTTGAACCCATTCTTTCTTGTGCACTAAAAAAATTTTGGAACCAATTTCAGGCCATACCTCTGATGTACATAATCTTTAATTTCTTCAATAGGATTTCTATAATTGGATAAGAACAAAGGCAGTATCAATGGCTTTAGCGAGGTAAGACGCTGATATGTCATTCACCCTTATTTTGATACTCTAGATCTTATAACAAAACTATACCATCATCCGTAGATATATCTCAAATTAAAAACACAACACAGACAAATTGGTCTAAAAGTATTCGAGATATCTTTGGGACCATTTCTTTACACAATAGGTAATTTTCATTTTTCATGAAAAGTCCTACCTGCTATACTTGAATTCATTATGTGTATCAATGGCTCAAGTATAATATATTTTATAGTTTTATAAATAAAGAAATACAACTATCAAAAACGGGGGCACTAATGATTCGATCTCTGTGGAGATTTTAAAATTTTTCAGTTGGAAATAGATACGTTGAAACCTGATGAAAAGTTCGATTATTAAAGGCAGAGGCCAGTGTTTCCTCAGTAATATGCATATTCCAGATGTATCGTATCTTTGACGCTGTTACGCATCGCTGGTCTTTCTATCGAACAACATGTTAATACAATAGTTTATCACCATCTATCAAAGGCCATGAAGCTCTGTTTATTCTCTCCCATAGTTTCCTTTCACAACACCCACAGAACGGTGAGTTGATGGAAACTTTAATGCCGCCATTGTAAGCTGAATAGGCTGTTAATTTAATAACACCTTAAAAATAAAATGTATACGTATATAGCATTTACCTGAAGCGTAAATTTAACAAATTAGTTATAAATAAAATTAATTTTATTTATAACTAATTTGTTTTAATTAGGTTTGTGTAATATAGTCAGTAGTATCTTCCCGATAACAACTCAAAATAATAAAAATGTGCAATTGCCAACCCACTTGCTAAGGGTGGGAACTATGGAATATATTCCCCCTAGAAGGCAATCTATGGCAAAGGCATAAGTTTAATAGTGGACTTTTGATAGCCTGCAATGAATGAATGAATGATGGATAATTAATGAATTAATGAGTGAATGGTGGATATATTTTGAAGGAGCAGAGAGCAAAATAAGTAATACGTTCGTATTCGATTTATTGGTAGTTCTGGTAGAGTAAAATAAGAGAAGACAGGCCGCAGTCGTGCCTATTTATACTATCGTAGCAATGCCTCCTGTGTACATTCTGTGAAGCAAACCAGATGTCGATTAGACAAACATTGACAAATAAAATATTTATAAGGGGTACTTGGTTACATGTTTACAATTATTATTTCCTGTGAAACCCATAATAAGACTAGGTATAATTTGGTAGAAGTATACCGGCTGAATTTAAGTAGATTTCATAGTGGCCTTTTCAACGATATACTTTAATTTATCACGATATTGGGAAATTCCCCATTATTCAACTACGTTTTTGTTGTAACATGTCAGGTGAAGCTTCTGTTAGCGTTCCTTGATAATAAATAAGTACTATACAAACCAGATTAATCAAAATCCTTAGGTAATTTTACTAGGTCACAGACCTAATGAATTTATCGACAACGTTTTTGTTTCGCTAATGGCACATCAATTGAGGTATCTATGGAATGAAAAAATGTCAACAACCTTGTAAAAGAAAGAAGGTAAAAATATATTATTCTCAGCATTCTTAGCTATCTTATTTTGTACCACGTAAAATGTCATATGCTTAGAGAGTATTTACTCTGAGCGAAAATTATGTGTTGACATTGGCCGTTAAACTTAAACGAAGTACGTGTTATTTAACGTACGTTTAATTTAATGTATTTGTAACACATATGTATAAATTTTATTTTTCCACACTCCTTCTCTATATAAAGTTAAATTGTGCCCAATCTCACACACCTCCGTGCACGCAATATGTTTGAAGAGGAGTACTAAGTTTTCCCTACACGTATTTTTACCCCTGAGGACTAAGTCTCTCCGAGGTCCCTGGAGAAGGAAAGTCCCCTGAAGACTCTACACTCACCCTACGAAATACAGCAGCATTAAGCTGATATTTTACGCTAGTATTCTGTGAGATTATGGTCATTCCCCAGTCGAGCCGACCTTTTCGTGCTATAAGCATAATATAGAGGGATCTAGCACGTTAAATTATTTGATTGCAACCTTTTAAAAAAAATTTGGTGACAATTTTTGCTCTGTATGGCTGTTTAATCACATACTATTAGGTTTTTGACATTGGTAGTATGAACGTAAGCCAAAGACATAGAAAACTTCAATGACGTAAACGAACGACCAATCTCAGAGTATAATTACTAACATAGGGGGAATCCTAAAGTAAGAACAAAATTCGTATAGTTGAATTCTTTATGCATATGACGTTTACAAAATAAAATAGCTACGAGTATATTATTCTCGCTTTCTTTCTTTTACAAGGTTGTTGTCATTTTTTGCATTCCATAGACACCTCAATTGATTATCCCAGGATGTGCTATTAGCGAAACAAAAAACGTTGTCAACAAATTCATGTAGTCTATGACTTAGGAAAATTAGGGATTTTGATAAATTTAGTTCGTTTTATACTTATTTATATCAATAAATGTTAAAAGAAGCTAATTAATAGAATCAGGCGTTACCTTGCGGAAATCCATTATAATGGGGTTGTCATAATCTAATTTGCTTAACTTCGCGTAAAGAAAGAAAATGATATGTCCTGCCCACCACCACACTAGGCACGACACACGGTGCTGGGGATGGTAGTGCCGGGATTAACGGCGACGAGAATAGTGCGCGCGATTGAGAGAGGGTGGGATGTCTCCTTAAAACTGGGCAGGACATATCATTTTCTTTCTTTACGCGGAATCAAGCAAATTAGTTTATAACAACCCCGTTAAAAGAAGCTTCATCTTACAACAAAAACAATATTCTATATCATTGGAAAAGTCATTATAAAATCTGCTTAAATTACTAGTCTTTTTATGGGTTCACAGAGAATAATAACTATAAACATGTAACCAAGTTATCCGTTGGAATATTTTATTTATATATAAAAAAGTTGCAGCCTATTTACGTCCCACTGTTGCGCACAGGCCTCCTTTCATTTCTGAGAGGGTTTTAGGGCAAGGAAATGTCCGCCGCGCTGTCCCAATGCCTGTTGGCGAACTTCACATGTCTTCGAAAATATTTTTTTTCTTATTTCTCAGACATGCAGGTTTCAATATAATACAATACCAACACTCACGCCTGTCACCCAGAGGGGTAGGCAGAGACTACGGACTTCCATTTGGCGCGATCCTGACACACTTCTCTCGCCTCCTTTACATCCATATATTTACGCATACACGCTCGTCGGTTAAGGGTACTCCTAATTTGGCCCATTTTCAATATATCGCCGATTTGGTCAATAAATCTTCGTCTAGGGCGTCCCTTCTCGAATTTGCCGTTCACTTTTGAAACATAAATTTGCTTTGTCACTCTTTCCTCGTTCATTCTTTCTACGTGACCAAACCACCGAAGCATTCCCTTTTTAATCCTAGTCACAGCGTCATCTTGTAGACCACACTTTTCTCTTATCACACTATTACTCACCCTGTCACTCAGATTCAGCCCTAGCATACTCCGTAATGACCGCATTTCTACAGCCTTTATTCTACTCTCATGCTTCTTCTGCCATACCCAACTTTCACTACCATACATTAAAGTAGGGACTAACATACCATTATGAATTGCCATACGTGCCTTCTTTGACACATTCTGACTCTTCATAATAGCGTGTAGAACCCCATTAACTCTATTTCCTGCGTTCACTCGTCGTTCTATATCCTTGTCATATCTACCATCCCTGCTAAATAAACATCCCAAATATACAAACTCATCCACTTGCTCCATCAACTCCCCTTCTATTCTTATTTCACATAACGGTTTATTTTCTTCTCTTTCAAAAACTATCACTTTCGTCTTACTTGCGTTCACTTTCATACCCCTTTCTTTTAATGACCAGTTCATTAAATTAACCATCATTTGCAACTCGGCGCCGACGATGCAAATATGACTTGATCATCGGCGTACAAAAG